ATTTGCATGAAAAAGGTCTCTAAAGAAATTTTATTTTTTCACCAAATAGGCTTGTGGGCTCACTAAAAGTTCGGTTTAAAGTGAAATATCTCATTGTACCGATGGTCAATGAGTGGAAGGGAGGTTGCGTTGGAATCATATGACCGGGAGGGACGCCATAGATTTGGAATTTGCATGAAAAAAGGTCTCTAAAGAAATTTTATTTTTTCACCAAATAGGCTTGTGGGCTCATGAAAAGTTCGGTTTAAAGTGAAATATCTCATTGTACCGGTGTTCAATGACTCGAAAGGAGATTGCGTTGGAATCGTGTGACCGAGAGGAACGCCATAGAGTTGGAATTTGCAAGAAAAAAGGTCTCTAAAGATATTTCATTTTTTTCATCAAATAGGCTTGTGGGCTCACGAAAAGTTCGATTTAAAGTGCAATTTCTCATTGCACCGATGGCCAATGAGGGGAAGGGAGGTTGCGTTGGAATCGTGTGACCGAGAGGAACGCCATAGATTTGGAATTTGCAAGAAAAAAGGTCTCTACAGAAATTTTATTTTTTCACAAAATAAGCTTGTGGGCTCACGAAAAGTTCGGTTTAAAGTGCAATTTCTCATTGCACCGATGGCCAGTGCGGGGAAGGGAGGTTGCGTTGGAATCGTGTGACCGTGAGGAACGCCTTAGATTTGGAATTTGCAAGAAAAAAGGTATCTAAAAAAATTTCATTTTTTCACCAAATAGGCTTGTGAGCTCACGAAAAGTTCGGTTTAAAGTGCAATTTCTCATTGCACCGATGGCCAATGAGGGGAAGGGAGGTTGCGTTAGAATCGTGTGACCGAGAGGAACGCCATAGATTTGGAATTTGAAAGAAAAAAGGTCTCTAAAGAAATTTCATTTTTTCACCAAATAGGCTTGTGGGCTCACGAAAAGTTCGGTTTAAAGTGCAATTTCTCATTGCCCCGATGGCCAATGAGGGGAAGGGAGGTTGCGTTGGAATCGTGTGACCGAGAGGAATGCCATAGAGTTGGAATTTGCAAGAAAAAAAGTCTCTAAAGAAATTTCATTTTTTTCACCAAATAGGCTTGTGGGCTCACGAAAAGTTCGGTTTAAAGTGAAATATCTCATTGCACCAATGGCCAATGAGGGGAAGGGAGGTTGCGTTGGAATCGTTTGACCGTGAGGAACGCCATAGAGTTGGAATTTGCAAGAAAAAAAGGTCTCTAAAGAAATTTCTTTTTTTCACCAAATAGGCTTGTGGCTTACGAAAAGTTCGGTTTAAATTGAAATATTTAATTGCACCGATGGTCAATGAGTGGAAGAGAAGTTGCGTTGGAATCGTATGACCAAGAAGAACGCCATAGAGTTGGAATTTGCAAGAAAAAAGGTTTCTAAAAAATTTCATTTTTCACCAAATAGGCTTGTGGGTCACGAAAAGTTCGGTTTAAAGTGAAATATCTCATTGCACCAATGGTCAATGAGTGGAAGGAAGGTTGCGTTGGAATCATATGACCGAGAAGAACGCCATAGAGTTGGAATTTGCAAGAAAAAAGGTCTCTAAAGAAATTTCATTTTTTCACCAAATAGGCTTGTGGGCTCACGAAAAGTTCGGTTTAAAGTGAAATATCTCATTGCACCGATGGCCAATGAGGGGAAGGAAGGTTGCGTTGGAATCGTTTGACCGTGAGGAACGCCATAGAGTTGGAATTTGCAAGAAAAAATGTCTCTAAAGAAATTTCATTTTTTCACCAAAAAGGCTTGTGTGGGCTTACGAAAAGTTCGGTTTAAATTGAAATATTTAATTGCACCGATGGTCAATGAGTGGAAGGGAAGTTGCGTTGGAATCGTATGACCAAGAAGAACGCCATAGATTTGGAATTTGCAAGAAAAAGGTTTCTAAAGAAATTTCATTTTTCACCAAATAGGCTTGTGGGCTCACGAAAAGTTCGGTTTAAAGTGAAATATCTCATTGCACCAACGGTCAATGAGTGGAAGGAAGGTTGCGTTGGAATCATCTGACCGAGAAGAAAGCCATAGAGTTGGAATTTGCAAGAAAAAAGGTCTCTAAAGAAATTTCATTTTTTCACCAAATAGGCTTGTGGGCTCACGAAAAGTTCGGTTTAAAGTGAAATATCTCATTGCACCGATGGCCTATGAGGGGAAGGGAGGTTGAGTTGGAATCGTTTGACCGTGAGGAACGCCATAGAGTTGGAATTTGCAAGATAAAAGGTCTCTAAAGAAATTTCATTTTTTCACCAAATAGGCTTGTGAGCTTACGAAAAGTTCGGTTTAAATTGAAATATTTAATTGCACCGATGGTCAATGAGTGGAAGGGAAGTTGCGTTGGAATCGTATGACCAAGAAGAACACCATAGAGTTGGAATTTGCAAGAAAAAAGGTTTCTAAAGAAATTTCATTTTTCACCAAATAGGCTTGTGGGCTCACGAAAAGTTCGGTTTAAAGTGAAATATCTCATTGCACCAATGGTCAGTGAGTGGAAGGAAGGTTGCGTTGGAATCATATGACCAAGAAGAACGCCATAGAGTTGGAATTTGCAAGAAAAAAGGTCTCTAAAGAAATTTCATTTTTTCACCAAATAGGCTTGTGGGCTCACGAAAAGTTCGGTTTAAAGTGCAATTTCTCATTGCACCAATGGCCAATGAGGGGAAGGGAGGTTGCGTTGGAATCGTTTGACCGTGAGGAACGCCATAGAGTTGGAATTTGCAAGAAAAAAGGTCTCTAAAGAAATTTCATTTTTTCACCAAATAGGCTTGTGGGCTTACGAAAAGTTCGGTTTAAATTGAAATATTTAATTGCACCGATGGTCAATTAGTGGAAGGAAAGGTACGTTGGAATCCTATGACCAAGAATAACGCCATAGAGTTGGAATTTGCAAGAAAAAAGTTTTCTAAAGAAATTTAATTTTTCACCAAGTAGGCTTGTGGGCTCACGAAAAGTTCGGTTTAAAGTGAAATATCTCATTGCACCAATGGTCAATGAGTGGAAGGAAGGTTGCGTTGGAATCATATGACCGAGAAGAACGCCATAGAGTTGGAATTTGCAAGAAAAAAGGTCTCTAAAGAAATTTCATTTTTTCACCAAATAGGCTTGTGGGCTCACGAAAAGTTCGGTTTAAAGTGCAATTTCTCATTACACCGATGGCCAATGAGGGGAAGGGAGGTTGCGTTGGAATCCTTTGACCGTGAGAAATGCCATAGAGTTGGAATTTGCAAGAAAAAAGGTCTCTAAAGAAATTTCATTTTTTCACCAAATAGGCTTGTGGGCTCACGGAAAGTTCGGTTTAAAGTGAAATAACTCATTGCACCTATGGTCAATGAGTGGAAGGGAGGTTGTGTTGGAATCGTATGACCAAGAAGAACGCCATAGAGTAGGAATTTTCAAGAAAAAAAGTCTCTAAAGAAATTTCATTTTTTCACCAAATCGGCTTGTGGGCTTACGAAAAGTTCGGTTTCAATTGAAATATTTAATTGCACCGATGGTCAATAAGTTTTAGGAAAGTTGCGTTGGAATCGTATGACCAAGAAGAACGCCATAGAGTTGGAATTTGCAATAAAAATGGTTTCCAAAGAAATTTCATTTTTCACTAAATAAGCTTGTGGGCTCACGAAAAGTTCGGTTTAAAGTGAAATATCTCATTGCACCAATGGTCAATGAGTGGAAGGAAGGTTGCGTTGGAATCATATGACCGAGAAGAACGCCATAGAGTTGGAATTTTCAAGAAAAAAGGTCTCTAAAGAAATTTCATTTTTTCACCAAATAGGCTTGAGTGCTCACGAAAAGTTCGGTTTAAAGTGAAATATCTCATTGTACTGGTGGTCAATGAGTCAAAGGGAGGTTGCGTTGGAATCATATGACCGAGAGGAACGCCATAGAGTTGGAATTTGCAAGAAAAAAGGTCTCTAAAGAAATTTCATTTTTTCACCAAATAGGCTTGTGGGCTCACGAAAAGTTCGGTTTAAAGTGAAATATCTCATTGTACCGATGGTCAATGAGTGGAAGGAAGGTTGCGTTGGAATCATATGACCGAGAAGAACGCCATAGAGTTGGAATTTGCAAGAAAAAAGGTCTCTAAAGAAATTGCATTTTTTCACCAAATAGGTTTGTGGGCTCACGAAAAGTTCGGTTTAAAGTGAAATATCTCATTGCACCGATGGCCAATGAGGGGAAGGGAGGTTGCGTTGGAATCGTTTGACCGAGAGGAATGCCATAGAGTTGGAATTTGCAAGAAAAAAGGTCTCTAAAGAAATTTCATTTTTTCACCAAATAGGCTTGTGGGCTCACGAAAAGTTCGGTTTAAATTGAAATATTTAATTGCACCGATGGTCAATGAGTGGAAGGGAAGTTGCGTTGGAATCGTATGACCAAGAAGAACGCCATAGAGTTGGAATTTGCAAGAAAAAAGGTTTCTAAAGAAATTTCATTTTTCACCAAATAGGCTTGTGGGCTCACGAAAAGTTCGGTTTAAAGTGAAATATCTCATTGCACCAATGGTCAATGAGTGGAAGGAAGGTTTCGTTGGATTCATATGACCGAGAAGAAAGCCATAGAGTTGGAATTTGCAAGAAAAAAGGTCTCTAAAGAAATTTCATTTTTTCACCAAATAGGCTTGTGGGCTCACGAAAAGTTAGGTTTAAAGTGAAATATCTCATTGCACCGATGGCCAATGAGGGGAAGGGAGGTTGCGTTGGAATCGTTTGATCGTGAGGAACGCCATAGAGTTGGAATTTGCAAGATAAAAGATCTCTAAAGAAATTTCATTTTTTCACCAAATAGGCTTGTGGGCTCACGAAAAGTTCGGTTTAAAGTGAAATATCTCATTGCACCGATGGCCAATGAGGGGAAGGGAGGTTGCGTTGGAATCGTTTGACCGAGAGGAATGCTATAGAGTTGGAATTTGGAAGAAAAAAGGTCTCTAAAGAAATTTCATTTTTTCACCAAATAGGCTTGTGGGCTCACAAAAAGTTCGCTTTAAATTTAAATATTTAATTGCACCGATGGTCAATGAGTGGAAGGGACGTTGCGTTGGAATCGTATGACCAAGAGGAACGCCATAGAGTTAGAATTTGAAAGAAAAAAGGTTTCTAAAGAAATTTCATTTTTCACCAAATAGGCTTGTGGGCTCACGAAAAGTTCGGTTTAAAGTGAAATATCTCATTGCACCAATGGTCAATGAGTGGAAGGAAGGTTGCGTTGGATTCATATGACCGAGAAGAAAGCCATAGAGTTGGAATTTGCAAGAAAAAAGGTCTCTAAAGAAATTTCATTTTTTCACCAAATAGGCTTGTGGGCTCACGAAAAGTTCGGTTTAAAGTGAAATATCTCATTGCACCGATGGCCAATGAGGGGAAGGGAGGTTGCGTTGGAATCGTTTGACCGTGAGGAACGCCATAGAGTTGGAATTTGCAAGATAAAAGGTCTCTAAAGAAATTTCATTTTTTCACCAAATAGGCTTGTCAGCTTACGAAAAGTTCGGTTTAAATTGAAATATTTAATTGCACCGATGGTCAATGTGTGGAAGGGAAGTTGCGTTGGAATCGTATGACCGAGAAGAACACCATAGAGTTGGAATTTGCAAGAAAAAAGGTTTCTAAAGAAATTTCATTTTTCACCAAATAGGCTTGTGGGCTCACGAAAAGTTCGGTTTAAAGTGAAATATCTCATTGCACCAATGGTCAATGAGTGGAAGGAAGGTTGCGTTGGAATCATATGACCAAGAAGAACGCCATAGAGTTGGAATTTGCAAGAAAAAAGGTCTCTAAAGAAATTTCATTTTTTCACCAAATAGGCTTGTGGGCTCACGAAAATTTAGGTTTAAAGTGCAATTTCTCATTGCACCGATGGCCATTGAGGGGAAGGGAGGTTGCGTTGGAATCGTTTGACCGTGAGGAACGCCATAGAGTTGGAATTTGCAAGAAAAAAGGTATCTAAAGAAATTTCATTTTTTCACCAAATAGGCTTGTGGGCTTACGAAAAGTTCGATTTAAATTGAAATATTTAATTGCACCGATGGTCAATTAGTGGAAGGAAAGGTACGTTGGAATCCTATGACCAAGAATAACGCCATAGAGTTGGAATTTGCAAGAAAAAAGGTCTCTAAAGAAATTTCATTTTTTCACCAAATAGGCTTGTGAGCTTACGAAAAGTTCGGTTTAAATTGAAATATTTAATTGCACCGATGGTCAATGAGTGGAAGGGAAGTTGCGTTGGAATCGTATGACCAAGAAGAACACCATAGAGTTGGAATTTGCAAGAAAAAAGGTTTCTAAAGAAATTTCATTTTTCACCAAATAGGCTTGTGGGCTCACGAAAAGTTCGGTTTAAAGTGAAATATCTCATTGCACCAATGGTCAATAAGTGGAAGGAAGGTTGCGTTGGAATCGTTTGACCGTGAGGAACGCCATAGAGTTGGAATTTGCAAGATAAAAGGTCTCTAAAGAAATTTCATTTTTTCACCAAATAGGCTTGTGAGCTTACGAAAAGTTCGGTTTAAATTGAAATATTTAATTGCACCGATGGTCAATGAGTGGAAGGGAAGTTGCGTTGGAATCGTATGACCAAGAAGAACACCATAGAGTTGGAATTTGCAAGAAAAAAGGTTTCTAAAGAAATTTCATTTTTCACCAAATAGGCTTGTGGGCTCACGAAAAGTTCGGTTTAAAGTGAAATATCTCATTGCACCAATGGTCAGTGAGTGGAAGGAAGGTTGCGTTGGAATCATATGACCAAGAAGAACGCCATAGAGTTGGAATTTGCAAGAAAAAAGGTCTCTAAAGAAATTTCATTTTTTCACCAAATAGGCTTGTGGGCTCACGAAAAGTTCGGTTTAAAGTGCAATTTCTCATTGCACCAATGGCCAATGAGGGGAAGGGAGGTTGCGTTGGAATTGTTTGACCGTGAGGAACGCCATAGAGTTGGAATTTGCAAGAAAAAAGGTCTCTAAAGAAATTTCATTTTTTCACCAAATAGGCTTGTGGGCTTACGAAAAGTTCGGTTTAAATTGAAATATTTAATTGCACCGATGGTCAATTAGTGGAAGGAAAGGTACGTTGGAATCCTATGACCAAGAATAACGCCATAGAGTTGGAATTTGCAAGAAAAAAGTTTTCTAAAGAAATTTAATTTTTCACCAAGTAGGCTTGTGGGCTCACGAAAAGTTCGGTTTAAAGTGAAATATCTCATTGCACCAATGGTCAATGAGTGGAAGGAAGGTTGCGTTGGAATCATATGACCGAGAAGAACGCCATAGAGTTGGAATTTGCAAGAAAAAAGGTCTCTAAAGAAATTTCATTTTTTCACCAAATAGGCTTGTGGGCTCACGAAAAGTTCGGTTTAAAGTGCAATTTCTCATTGCACCGATGGCCAATGAGGGGAAGGGAGGTTGCGTTGGAATCCTTTGACCGTGAGAAATGCCATAGAGTTGGAATTTGCAAGAAAAAAGGTCTCTAAAGAAATTTCATTTTTTCACCAAATAGGCTTGTGGGCTCACGGAAAGTTCGGTTTAAAGTGAAATAACTCATTGCACCTATGGTCAATGAGTGGAAGGGAGGTTGTGTTGGAATCGTATGACCAATAAGAACGCCATAGAGTAGGAATTTTCAAGAAAAAAAGTCTCTAAAGAAATTTCATTTTTTCACCAAATCGGCTTGTGGGCTTACGAAAAGTTCGGTTTCAATTGAAATATTTAATTGCACCGATGGTCAATAAGTTTTAGGAAAGTTGCGTTGGAATCGTATGACCAAGAAGAACGCCATAGAGTTGGAATTTGCAATAAAAATGGTTTCCAAAGAAATTTCATTTTTCACTAAATAAGCTTGTGGGCTCACGAAAAGTTCGGTTTAAAGTGAAATATCTCATTGCACCAATGGTCAATGAGTGGAAGGAAGGTTGCGTTGGAATCATATGACCGAGAAGAACGCCATAGAGTTGGAATTTTCAAGAAAAAAGGTCTCTAAAGAAATTTCATTTTTTCACCAAATAGGCTTGAGTGCTCACGAAAAGTTCGGTTTAAAGTGAAATATCTCATTGTACTGGTGGTCAATGAGTCAAAGGGAGGTTGCGTTGGAATCATATGACCGAGAGGAACGCCATAGAGTTGGAATTTGCAAGAAAAAAGGTCTCTAAAGAAATTTCATTTTTTCACCAAATAGGCTTGTGGGCTCACGAAAAGTTCGGTTTAAAGTGAAATATCTCATTGTACCGATGGTCAATGAGTGGAAGGAAGGTTGCGTTGGAATCATATGACCGAGAAGAACGCCATAGAGTTGGAATTTGCAAGAAAAAAGGTCTCTAAAGAAATTGCATTTTTTCACCAAATAGGTTTGTGGGCTCACGAAAAGTTCGGTTTAAAGTGAAATATCTCATTGCACCGATGGCCAATGAGGGGAAGGGAGGTTGCGTTGGAATCGTTTGACCGAGAGGAATGCCATAGAGTTGGAATTTGCAAGAAAAAAGGTCTCTAAAGAAATTTCATTTTTTCACCAAATAGGCTTGTGGGCTCACGAAAAGTTCGGTTTAAATTGAAATATTTAATTGCACCGATGGTCAATGAGTGGAAGGGAAGTTGCGTTGGAATCGTATGACCAAGAAGAACGCCATAGAGTTGGAATTTGCAAGAAAAAAGGTTTCTAAAGAAATTTCATTTTTCACCAAATAGGCTTGTGGGCTCACGAAAAGTTCGGTTTAAAGTGAAATATCTCATTGCACCAATGGTCAATGAGTGGAAGGAAGGTTTCGTTGGATTCATATGACCGAGAAGAAAGCCATAGAGTTGGAATTTGCAAGAAAAAAGGTCTCTAAAGAAATTTCATTTTTTCACCAAATAGGCTTGTGGGCTCACGAAAAGTTAGGTTTAAAGTGAAATATCTCATTGCACCGATGGCCAATGAGGGGAAGGGAGGTTGCGTTGGAATCGTTTGATCGTGAGGAACGCCATAGAGTTGGAATTTGCAAGATAAAAGATCTCTAAAGAAATTTCATTTTTTCACCAAATAGGCTTGTGGGCTCACGAAAAGTTCGGTTTAAAGTGAAATATCTCATTGCACCGATGGCCAATGAGGGGAAGGGAGGTTGCGTTGGAATCGTTTGACCGAGAGGAATGCTATAGAGTTGGAATTTGGAAGAAAAAAGGTCTCTAAATAAATTTCATTTTTTCACCAAATAGGCTTGTGGGCTCACAAAAAGTTCGCTTTAAATTTAAATATTTAATTGCACCGATGGTCAATGAGTGGAAGGGACGTTGCGTTGGAATCGTATGACCAAGAAGAACGCCATAGAGTTAGAATTTGAAAGAAAAAAGGTTTCTAAAGAAATTTCATTTTTCACCAAATAGGCTTGTGGGCTCACGAAAAGTTCGGTTTAAAGTGAAATATCTCATTGCACCAATGGTCAATGAGTGGAAGGAAGGTTGCGTTGGATTCATATGACCGAGAAGAAAGCCATAGAGTTGGAATTTGCAAGAAAAAAGGTCTCTAAAGAAATTTCATTTTTTCACCAAATAGGCTTGTGGGCTCACGAAAAGTTCGGTTTAAAGTGAAATATCTCATTGCACCGATGGCCAATGAGGGGAAGGGAGGTTGCGTTGGAATCGTTTGACCGTGAGGAACGCCATAGAGTTGGAATTTGCAAGATAAAAGGTCTCTAAAGAAATTTCATTTTTTCACCAAATAGGCTTGTCAGCTTACGAAAAGTTCGGTTTAAATTGAAATATTTAATTGCACCGATGGTCAATGTGTGGAAGGGAAGTTGCGTTGGAATCGTATGACCAAGAAGAACACCATAGAGTTGGAATTTGCAAGAAAAAAGGTTTCTAAAGAAATTTCATTTTTCACCAAATAGGCTTGTGTGCTCACGAAAAGTTCGGTTTAAAGTGAAATATCTCATTGCACCAATGGTCAATGAGTGGAAGGAAGGTTGCGTTGGAATCATATGACCAAGAAGAACGCCATAGAGTTGGAATTTGCAAGAAAAAAGGTCTCTAAAGAAATTTCATTTTTTCACCAAATAGGCTTGTGGGCTCACGAAAATTTAGGTTTAAAGTGCAATTTCTCATTGCACCGATGGCCATTGAGGGGAAGGGAGGTTGCGTTGGAATCGTTTGACCGTGAGGAACGCCATAGAGTTGGAATTTGCAAGAAAAAAGGTATCTAAAGAAATTTCATTTTTTCACCAAATAGGCTTGTGGGCTTACGAAAAGTTCGATTTAAATTGAAATATTTAATTGCACCGATGGTCAATTAGTGGAAGGAAAGGTACGTTGGAATCCTATGACCAAGAATAACGCCATAGAGTTGGAATTTGCAAGAAAAAAGGTCTCTAAAGAAATTTCATTTTTTCACCAAATAGGCTTGTGAGCTTACGAAAAGTTCGGTTTAAATTGAAATATTTAATTGCACCGATGGTCAATGAGTGGAAGGGAAGTTGCGTTGGAATCGTATGACCAAGAAGAACACCATAGAGTTGGAATTTGCAAGAAAAAAGGTTTCTAAAGAAATTTCATTTTTCACCAAATAGGCTTGTGGGCTCACGAAAAGTTCGGTTTAAAGTGAAATATCTCATTGCACCAATGGTCAATAAGTGGAAGGAAGGTTGCGTTGGAATCATATGACCAAGAAGAACGCCATAGAGTTGGAATTTTCAAGAAAAAAGGTCTCTAAAGAAATTTGATTTTTTCACCAAATAGGCTTAAGTGCTCACGAAAAGTTCGGTTTAAAGTGAAATATCTCATTGCACCAATGGTCAATGAGTGGAAGGAAGGTTGCGTTGGATTCATATGACCGAGAAGAAAGCCATAGAGTTGGAATTTGCAAGAAAAAAGGTCTCTAAAGAAATTTCATTTTTTCACCAAATAGGCTTGTGGGCTCACGAAAAGTTCGGTTTAAAGTGAAATATCTCATTGCACCGATGGCCAATGAGGGGAAGGGAGGTTGCGTTGGAATCGTTTGACCGTGAGGAACGCCATAGAGTTGGAATTTGCAAGATAAAAGGTCTCTAAAGAAATTTCATTTTTTCACCAAATAGGCTTGTCAGCTTACGAAAAGTTCGGTTTAAATTGAAATATTTAATTGCACCGATGGTCAATGTGTGGAAGGGAAGTTGCGTTGGAATCGTATGACCAAGAAGAACACCATAGAGTTGGAATTTGCAAGAAAAAAAGTTTCTAAAGAAATTTCATTTTTCACCAAATAGGCTTGTGGGCTCACGAAAAGTTCGGTTTAAAGTGAAATATCTCATTGCACCAATGGTCAATGAGTGGAAGGAAGGTTGCGTTGGAATCATATGACCAAGAAGAACGCCATAGAGTTGGAATTTGCAAGAAAAAAGGTCTCTAAAGAAATTTCATTTTTTCACCAAATAGGCTTGTGGGCTCACGAAAAGTTAGGTTTAAAGTGCAATTTCTCATTGCACCGATGGCCAATGAGGGGAAGGGAGGTTGCGTTGGAATCGTTTGACCGTGAGGAACGCCATAGAGTTGGAATTTGCAAGATAAAAGGTCTCTAAAGAAATTTCATTTTTTCACCAAATAGGCTTGTCAGCTTACGAAAAGTTCGGTTTAAATTGAAATATTTAATTGCACCGATGGTCAATGTGTGGAAGGGAAGTTGCGTTGGAATCGTATGACCAAGAAGAACACCATAGAGTTGGAATTTGCAAGAAAAAAGGTTTCTAAAGAAATTTCATTTTTCACCAAATAGGCTTGTGGGCTCACGAAAAGTTCGGTTTAAAGTGAAATATCTCATTGCACCAATGGTCAATAAGTGGAAGGAAGGTTGCGTTGGAATCATATGACCAAGAAGAACGCCATAGAGTTGGAATTTTCAAGAAAAAAGGTCTCTAAAGAAATTTGATTTTTTCACCAAATAGGCTTGAGTGCTCACGAAAAGTTCGGTTTAAAGTGAAATATCTCATTGCACCAATGGTCAATGAGTGGAAGGAAGGTTGCGTTGGATTCATATGACCGAGAAGAAAGCCATAGAGTTGGAATTTGCAAGAAAAAAGGTCTCTAAAGAAATTTCATTTTTTCACCAAATAGGCTTGTGGGCTCACGAAAAGTTCGGTTTAAAGTGAAATATCTCATTGCACCGATGGCCAATGAGGGGAAGGGAGGTTGCGTTGGAATCGTTTGACCGTGAGGAACGCCATAGAGTTGGAATTTGCAAGATAAAAGGTCTCTAAAGAAATTTCATTTTTTCACCAAATAGGCTTGTCAGCTTACGAAAAGTTCGGTTTAAATTGAAATATTTAATTGCACCGATGGTCAATGTGTGGAAGGGAAGTTGCGTTGGAATCGTATGACCAAGAAGAACACCATAGAGTTGGAATTTGCAAGAAAAAAGGTTTCTAAAGAAATTTCATTTTTCACCAAATAGGCTTGTGGGCTCACGAAAAGTTCGGTTTAAAGTGAAATATCTCATTGCACCAATGGTCAATGAGTGGAAGGAAGGTTGCGTTGGATTCATATGACCGAGAAGAAAGCCATAGAGTTAGAATTTGCAAGAAAAAAGGTCTCTAAAGAAATTTCATTTTTTCACCAAATAGGCTTGTGGGCTCACGAAAAGTTCGGTTTAAAGTGAAATATCTCATTGCACCGATGGCCAATGAGGGGAAGGGAGGTTGCGTTGGAATCGTTTGACCGTGAGGAACGCCATAGAGTTGGAATTTGCAAGATAAAAGGTCTCTAAAGAAATTTCATTTTTTCACCAAATAGGCTTGTCAGCTTACGAAAAGTTCGGTTTAAATTGAAATATTTAATTGCACCGATGGTCAATGTGTGGAAGGGAAGTTGCGTTGGAATCGTATGACCAAGAAGAACACCATAGAGTTGGAATTTGCAAGAAAAAAGGTTTCTAAAGAAATTTCATTTTTCACCAAATAGGCTTGTGGGCTCACGAAAAGTTCGGTTTAAAGTGAAATATCTTATTGCACCAATGGTCAATGAGTGGAAGGAAGGTTGCGTTGGAATCATATGACCAAGAAGAACGCCATAGAGTTGGAATTTGCAAGAAAAAAGGTCTCTAAAGAAATTTCATTTTTTCACCAAATATGCTTGTGGGCTCACGAAAAGTTCGGTTTAAAGTGAAATATCTCATTGCACCGATGGCTATTGATGGGAAGGGAGGTTGCGTTGGAATCGTTTGACCGTGAGGAACGCCATAGAGTTGGAATTTGCAAGATAAAAGGTCTCTAAAGAAATTTCATTTTTTCACCAAATAGGCTTGTGAGCTTACGAAAAGTTCGGTTTAAATTGAAATATTTAATTGCACCGATGGTCAATGAGTGGAAGGGAAGGTACGTTGGAATCCTATGACTAAGAATAACGCCATAGAGTTGGAATTTGCAAGAAAAAAGGTTTCTAAAGAAATTTCATTTTTCACCAAGTAGGCTTGTGGGCTCACGAAAAGTTCGGTTTAAAGTGAAATATCTCATTGCACCAATGGTCAATTGGTGGAAGGAAGGTTGCGTTGGAATCATATGACCGAGAAGAACGCCATAGAGTTGGAATTTGCAAGAAAAAAGGTCTCTAAAGAAATTTCATTTTTTCACCAAATAGGCTTGTGGGCTCACGAAAAGTTCGGTTTAAAGTGAAATATCTCATTGCACCGATGGCTATTGATGGGAAGGGAGGTTGCGTTGGAATCGTTTGACCGTGAGGAACGCCATAGAGTTGGAATTTGCAAGATAAAAGGTCTCTAAAGAAATTTCATTTTTTCACCAAATAGGCTTGTGAGCTTACGAAAAGTTCGGTTTAAATTGAAATATTTAATTGCACCGATGGTCAATGAGTGGAAGGGAAGGTACGTTGGAATCCTATGACTAAGA